AAAGCACTTTAACCCCTACTAGGAACAGACATGGACATTTCTTACAGATGACGGGTATTAGGTTTTCTTGTGTATAAATGCAATAAAAATATAATTGCACTTGCATTTGGAGTATGATATAGAGGTCAGATATAAGAAATCTGTTTATTCAGAAGCCAGAAAAATCTAACTTTTTGGGAAATGTTTAAAATGATAGTATTTTAAAATTTAACATATGTGTTTAATATGAATAATATAATAATATTTTAAATGAATGAGGCTTATATTTAATATTAACTGCATTAAACTGTAAAATGCCATATATTAGAAGTCCTCCCATTGTAGATATTGACTCATAAAACATCTCTAGGCTTTTTTCCCCTGTGAAAACTGTTGACAATGGCTGCACTTTTTCTTTAAACTTGACTACTGACCGTGTTTCTATAAATTATATATAAATATAAGCTTGAACTTCCGTAACATTTCACTGAAAGCATTAACAGTTGAATTAAGAGTTGTTAATTCTTTGTGTCTGTCTTGATACATTATATATGTCTCATTTGAATGTATGGACAACATAATGTGTAAGCATCAAGTTTAACCACAAGTCAATAGGTTTGCTCAATGACAAATAATATAATAGCCTATAGTTATCTGACATAATAAATGAAACATTTAAAACATATTGTTTTGTGTGTACTGTAATTTAAACACAGTTTTATGTGTTAATATTTGTTCCATTCCATTGCTTTGAATTAATGCATTCATTAAACCTAGCCAAGGCGCTAAAGATGAGGTCAAACGTGCCATGAATCAGCAGCAATTAACTTCATTTTATTGCGTATTAAATGAACTAAATATTATTTTCTGTATAATACTTACTCAGCTGGCCTTCCTGTGAAAATCGAACTGAATTATAATCTTGTATCTGGTGCAATCATTTATTACTTTTTCCCCGATGCATTGAAATTTAAGTGTATGCTGCCATCTAGAGTCATACTTTGTAATAACAGACTCGCTGGAAGAAAATTTGCAACTACATAAACTGTTCTTGTTATGGTTGGTACTAAATGCAGTTGTGTATGTGTATGCAAATGAACTTTCTCTACCCATATTTACATCTGCTGTGAAAGTGATGTGTAGGTTTTAACTTAGCTTGTACAGATAGATATTTTAAATGTGGTGATATCACATCTTTATTTTTGTTTTTATTTTGTAAATAACAGTCATTAGAGGAAAATTGGAATCAAGAAGTCCTAGTTTGAGGTGAATTTCTTTTTTAAAGAAATGTATGCAAAAATGAGCTATAATTATAAATAGTAAGTTTTACTATTTTACTCTAGCAGTACAGATATATAATATAAGATTTAAGATATATAACATAGTCTATAATTAATAATTATAATATAATCTGTAAATTGTTTTGTATTTATTTAGCAATGTTATATAACAATAATACATATTTATAAAAAAAATAGTGATACACTTGTATTCTTAGTAGTACACTTATATCCACAAATGTAGCCTATTTTGTATTACAAAATCATAGAAAACCCTGCATCTTTTGGCATTTTGGTAAGGGTTTCGTACGTGAATTTGAAAATCATAATTTGCTGCAGCTATAAAAAAATAAAAATAAAATAAAAAAATAAGCAAACAACTTGTATGCCAAGCCAACCATGCCCACAAGTCTCTTGATCATACTGTTGAACTATGAAAAATAGGCCTAATTGGGTCTAGAGTCAGGTCTCATTGGTGCAATAAAGGATCTACCTTGATTTAAGCGGACAATAGTGGGTGTGACAGTGGATTATATGAGGAATCAAAGTTCAGCTCATATGCGATCACAGCTCATTTATTTTTATTTATTTACATTTATAAGTCAGTTTGAATAGATCGTGTACCGTTGAATTGTCTCTACTGGACTGCAAGCGGCGCGGGGCAGTCTCCTCCCCACCCGCGAGGACCTGCATTTGAGACAGTCTAGGTGTCTAGGTAGGCAGCTCATTCATTGAGGTCCCCCCCTCCCTCAGGAATACGACAAAGGCTGCCAGTCTGCATTGAAGCGAGGGATGTTCTAACCTAAAGAGCGAAAGGGGCAGACAGACACCGGCTGCAGCCCATCCGCCCCATCCAGCACAGCAGAGCACATGATTCTCTCCTGCTCTTAAAACCATCACTAGCATCCTCTGGAAGAGATGACAAGCCATTAGATGTGTGCTTTCATATCGACTGTGCTCATCGGATACACTCGCACAAGTAAGATGAATATGCTTTTTTGAAGCAAGATGCACCGCACATTTATATTTATTAGTGCATTCATATCGCTTTTTAATTGATGAAACATGTAATCACGACTTCTTCATTGTGCTTTCCCTTTGGGCGTGTTTAAATAACTTGAATATTATATATTAATTATTAAAATATATTATGTTATATCATTATAAAACAATAACACATTAATGTTTATTAGCCTATTTAAAACATATATTGAACATTTTCTATAATGTCTTTTTAATTATGTTATTTTTGTCAGTTGGATAAGCGCACGGAAATGTACATTTCCAGCTGCTTATTTTATTTTATTTACAGAGCATAGCATGATGTGCAATAGGCCTACTTATTAACAAGTAGGCTATATGCACAAATACATTTTTTATACAGGAAAAAAAAAAGTCGGGTGATATTCAGAATAAATGCAATTATAATTTTAACATTACTCATCTATCCACAATTTTCCACAGAGATACTACAGCCCCGGGTGTTGACATGGAGCAGGTGCATTTCGATGAACGGGACAAAGCACAAAGATACAGCCGTACGGGTTCACGTGCGAACGGCCTCCCGAGCCCCACGCACAGCGCCCACTGTAGCCTGTACCGAACCCGGACCCTACAGGCTCTGAGCTCGGAAAAGAAAGCCAAGAGGGTCCGGTTCTACCGCAATGGAGACCGGTACTTCAAAGGGATTGTGTACGCTATTTCCAATGACAGATTCAGGTCTTTCGATGCTCTGCTCGCAGACCTCACCCGCTCCCTATCAGATAATATAAATCTGCCTCAGGGCGTCCGGACCATTTATACCATTGACGGGTCGAAGATTACCAGCATGGATCAGCTGGCGGAAGGTGAGCCTGGGTGTCTGTATATGGAGGTTTAGGGACATCAGTATCTTTTGTTTCTTCTTGTTCAACTTGACATACATGGTCAACTGTGCATTAGATCACATTTGTCGGTTTGGATTTGTACCTGTTCTCCACATGAAGACAACAGGCTGGAAAATTCTGGTTTTGGAGCTAGTCTGAAGTGGTTATTAGCTGTCCCAAGAAAGACCACTTTAAACACTGACAACCTGCTTGTAGCTGGTTTATTGCTGGTACTAGACAGTCTAAAAACTTAAACAAGTTATTGACCACGTTACTATCTTAAAATGAGACTTTCCAGTGGTGCATTATTTTTCTGATGAGATCTAAAGCCATAAAGAATCTGAAAACCTTTAAGACCGGATTTGCTCTTTAAATAATACCAGTGTTTAATTGGTCGTTTTAATCCATTTATTCCTTATGCTCTGATGTGAATGGCAGTTATGACTCCATCAATTAATGTCATGTGAAGTGAAAAGTGTGGTTGTAAGAAACAGATTTATCATTAAGACATTTCAACTTTAAATCATGGCTTCTGGCCAGAATACAAGTCCATAATCCATAATATTGCTTTCTTCACTCTAAAAAATAATTCAGTGGATCTGTTGCCACTACTTAATTTAATGCATTAGTGCAAGTTAAAAATTCCAATTTATTGATTTAATTAAACATTTTAAGTTTTAAACATTTTTGAATGAGTTGTCCTGATATCTTAATGTTGATAATTACATCAACGTAATACTGTGTGTAACTTCAACTTAAATATCTGTGTTAGTTTGTTTAAAACATTATTTAAGTTGTACTAACTCAATGTAATTAGCTCCATAACTTATTTTTTTCAAGTTCACGTTTCAGGTTCCCAGCATGCTTTGCATGTGACTGAATAATGAGCGGTAATGTAGAAATAAACTCATATTTTATGCATTTCTATTCAAGATCAGAACAGGAGAAGATTTATTCATGTTCAGTGTTCGGTTTTATTAGTATTTAAAAGTGTTTCTGTTATGTTGTTGGTTTTTATGAGATTACCATTGTGCTGAAGAGTAGAGCGTTTGCTTAGGTTGAGAACAGACTCACTAGGCATTGTTTTACGTACTGTTTCAATCAGAAGGTGTTTGGTTGAAAATGCTAAAAGATTGGTTTTCTGGCAGCATTAAGTGTTACTGCATCAAAAAATAGTATTTTAGTAGTTTTTGTAACCAATGTCCATGATTGAATCAAATTTAAAACAAT